GGTAGCCCATCCAGGATTGGTACAGATCGCTAAAAGAATCTTCGACGAACATATGCCGACACCAAATCAGATTGATAAGCAGGTGAGACTTGGACCTTGGCTTTGGTGCAAGAGGTCATTTCGGTCCCTTTCAGCTCCAAGGCTTCTTCGCCACGAACCAGGAATTGACAGCTATCCCTGAAGGCACCCGAACTGAGCACGGTTTCCGACATAACATCAGCGTTACCCTTGGTAAGGAGTTTTTGTAGATGGCTTCTATGTTGACGGGAAAAAGGGAATCCAAGTTTTAGGCTACCTCGATTCATGGCTGCGTGGTGTTGGCTGCGTACCTCTCTACAATCTGATGGAGGATGCTGCCACAGCCGAAATCAGCCGCTCCCAACTTTGGCAATGGCTCAGGCACGATGCTCGATTAGAAGGTGAGTTCTGAGCCGTCTGAGTGTGTCCCTGACCCAAGAGAAGCTCTTCGAAATTATGGAAATATCCCCTTTCAGATGGCCGAACAATCGATGCTCAATTGGTCAAACAGACGATCGCAGCCGAAACCGAAAGGCGACTTATCCGAGCCGGATCAGTTGTAAGCAGGTACTGTAACAAGTTTTCAGAATTGTATCCTACTGTTGAGGAATTTGTACAGTGTTCATTTCGTCGATCAGTTCTATCTAGTGTTAGGACCATGTTTCTAGTTTCAGTGATTGGCCCTAACCGAAGAGATCCAAAGCCCACATGGGAGGAGGCCGATGTCACGTAGTGTATAGAGGCGGATTGTACCCCACTGGATATCTTTTCAGAATATCGAGGGAAGGAAAATTGAATAGGAATCTGAGAGAAAGCAAGAGAGGAACGATTCTTCTATGAATTCCTCTACCTTGGGTATGCGCCCCGCTGTTGTGTCCCTCCAGTATCGCAGAAGGATTTGATAGAGCATGCCGTGGCATTGGCTAGTACCATGACTTGTGAAACCGCCGTTGTCAGACCTACTTCTCCAAAGTCCCCATAGAAGTCTAATACCAAGTGAAGTGAATACCAGTCTAATACTTTTGGAGGCTCAGTCTAGTCAGCCTCTGGTCAAGGATCCTCTCCTTGATTTGTAGTACCGATGTGACGCCACTAGATGTGGTACCAGCACCTTCAGCTGATGCCTTCTCCAGTTCATTGATTTATTTTATTTATTTTTATGTAATTCAGTTTACATTTTGAAATCACGATGTAAAATAAGTTGATTTCCAGATTACCTGAAGCAGCTGAACTTTTGGAGAAGTTCGCCCTTGAAGAGCAAATGAGCGAT